CCTCCTCCTCCTCTCTCTGCCCTTGTCCTTCTTCCAGCGTCTGCCAAGGGAAGACCTCTACTGTCCTCCCATCATCATCAAAGTCATCGACAACAGGCCCTTTGGCCGCAAACCTGTGGTGGGCCAGTGCACCATCCGAACCCTGCAAGAATTCTTCTGCGACCCCTACAAAGAAGACGCCGTATTTCCTGAAACCCACGCAGGTCAGGATGGGCGGAAGATCTTTGGGGGAATCCTAAAAATGGGTGGCTTCCCTGGAACCACTACATGATATGTCAAGATTAGCAAAGGAAGCCTTGCTTTTGAGCAGAGGTCTCTCAACCTGGCCACTTTAAGACTTGTGGACTTCAACTCCCAGAATTCCACAGTCAACTTGGCCACTTTAAGACTTGTGGACTTCAACTCCCAGAGCTGGCTGGGGAATTCCTGGAGTTAAAAGTCCACAAGTCTTAAAGTAGCCAAGGTGACTGTGGAATTCTGGGAGTTGAAGTCCATAGGTCTCAAAGTGGCCAGGTTTGGAGACCCTTGTTCTTGAGTATCATCTGAAGGTTTGACTACCTGTGTGGTCCACTGAAGTCACTTCTTTATGGAGACTTCCTGAAGGTCTGATTATCCATGGTCACCTATCTGTGGGCTTGTGGGTTCGGGGTTGGTTTTATGGTGTCTCCAACACGCCAACCTCCAGATGTTATTGAACACAACATCCAGAACAATGATGGACTGGAGAAGACTTCCCATGTGGCCTGCTTGATAGCTTAATATACCTTGAACCTTCCCAGACAATGTGTCTGAATCACAAGTATCCAAAGAGTCCCTCTTCCATCTCCTTGGTCGGAAAGACTTCTTTGGAAGACAGCTGTTGAGTGACAGGGATGGTTTGAAAGACATGTTGATGGACAGCCAACCCCAAAAGCTGAAGCTGGGTTTTCTTCTTCATTGGTTACAGATGACACGACCCTCACCCCAAAAGACGATGTTCTGATTGACATCGATGACAAAGAACCTCTCATCCCCGTCCAGGTAAGACAGCTCAGGTGCTGGGATGACATCAGATGGGAAGAAGCATGAAGGAGCAACCTCCAAGGCTAATGTTGGGGAGAACTCCTGTGAGGCTGGTTGGGGCTGCACCTTGGTGATGATACGAGCAGGTACAGAGTTGACAGCTGCTGGGGTCAATGAGGGAAAGAACCTTGAGGTGCAGGAATGCCTAGTTTAGTGAAAGGGGGGGGGCTGAGAGCAGTCTTCCAGTATTTAAGGGGTGCCACAAAGAAGAGGGAGTCAAGCTACTCTCCAAGGCACCCAAAGGCAGGAGAAGAGGCGAAGGATGGCACATCATCAAGGGGAGAAGCAACCTAACTAAGGAGAAATTTCACCAGTGGAACAGCTTGCCACCAGGAGTTGTGGCTGCTCCATCGCCATGCTATTTAAGAACAGACTGGACAGCCATTTGTCTGGAATGGCAGAGGGTCTCCAGCTTGAGCAGGGGGCTGGACTAGAAGACCTTCAAGGTCCCTTCCAGCTCTGTTCTTGTGTCATGCAGGGCAGACCCCCCCCCCAAACTCCCCAGAGAAGTCCTGGAGGCCAAAATGTAACGAAAAAGTCGAGATGTTTGCAGCCACCACACAGAATGCACTTCAGTTGCTTCTTCCCTATAATGATCAGAGCTTGGAAGGCTCCCATAGAGATCATCCAGCCTAACCCCTGTGCGCAGGAACACCTTTGATAGTCCAAACCTCTCTTCCAAACCTTCAGGGAAGGAGAAGTCACATTTCAAGTGGCAGCCTGTTCCACCGGCTGACGTTTGTCCCAAACCTTACTTCCTTTTGAGAGGGCGCTAACAGGGGGCTCCTCGAGTTACGACCGTAATGGAAACCGCCCACCATGGTCATAAGTCAAAACAGGTCAGTCACATGACCAGATTGACGTCACAATCTTTTTCGCAGGGGTCGTTAAGCAGACCAGCTGGTTGTAAAGCAGCCCGCTGGGTTCTTAAGCGAACGTGGGGGTCACTAAGCGGAGCCATCATTTCCGAGGGGCAGTTTTGCTGAAAAGGGAAAGTAAGGGTTGGTTTTCAGCAAAAATGTCATAAAACGAGGACCGTGGGACGCTGCCAACAGCCCAAAATGCGGTTGTGTCACCGCGGAGAGCCTGCCTGCAGTGTGGCCATGTGAAACCAGATCCTGGGCAGTCCCCATTGGAACTTTGAACGGTTGTTAAGTGATCGGTCGTAAGTCAAGGACCACCAGTAGTTTTCCTGCAGGCTTCCACATCCTGCACTTTGGATTTTCGTTTTCCTGGCGTTTCACATTTCTCTGTGCCAAGTTACATCCTGTTTACCGCCGGTCCTTGACTTACAACCNCTGGCTGGGGAATTCTGGGAGTTGAAGTCCGGACATCTTCAAGTTGCCAAGGTTGAGAAACACTGTCCTAGACACTGAATTGTTTATACACGAATGCTGGCTGGGGAATTCTGGGAGTTGAAGTCCAGACATCTTCAAGTTGCCAAGGTTGAGAAACATTGCTCTACTCCAACCCCTCACCCAAGCAGGAGAGACTACACCATTCCAGACAAATGGCCGTCCGGTCTCTTCTCGAAAACCTCCAGTGATGGAGCATTCACAACTTCTGGTGGCAAATTCTGTTCCACTGGTTAATTCTTCTCACGATCAGGAAATTCTCCCCAAATTCCATGTTCCTTCTCTCCTTGATTAGTTTCGATCCATCGCTTCTTCTTGTCCTGCCCTTCTGCTGCTTTCTAGAACAGGGTGACCCCCCTCTTTGTGGCAGCAACATCAACATCAACAAAGCAATACATGCAGAAAAAGTTAGAGGGCCTTCCGGATGCTCCATCTTGTCCCTCAACCTTCTGAACGTTAAGATGACTTCAGGTCCCAGAATTCCCCAGCCAAGCTTTGCTGCCTGGGGAACCCTGGGAGATGAAGTCCACACATTGTAAGGTTGAGGAATTTGGAACACCGTTTTCTCAACCTTTCTTAACTTGAAGGCGTGTTGACTTCAACTCCCAGAGTCCCCCCCAGCCTGTTTGGCTGGCTGAGGAATTCTGGGAATGGAAGTCCACCCATCTTAAACTTGGTAAGTTTGAGAAAAACTTGCATACAGCTCAGGAGTTAAATGCTACCGGTTCGGGCCAGTTTAAAAAGTTTTAAAAAATTGAAAAGAAAGTTCCGACAATTGCACAGCAGAGCTGATTGTCTCACAGCTAATTGTCGGAAGTCCTTGTTTACTTTTTTTAAGCATTAAGCATTTTTTTTTTTTTACTACCGGTTCTAAAAAGTGCTAAAAAAAAGTAAAAAAAGAGTTCCGACTATCAGCTGTGCCACACATTTATATTTGCTCTAAATCGCACGGCACAGCTGTGTCCCCCCCCCCACTCGCTGTTCTACTTACCTGCCTGCGGTGCGCCTGCGGTGCGCATGCAAACCAGTAGCAGACGAGAGAGCATTTCACCCTTGGTGCAGCTTCCAATCTGACGTCACAACACCCCTTTGGTTTATCTGCTCCTCATCACCCCTGGTTCCTTTCTGGATGCCCAGAATGGGAGGGAGACCTGGGCCCTGTTGGAAAGCAAAGGCTGGGTCTGAGTGCAGCTGTGGATGATGGGACCCACGTGCTCAAATCCCTCTTCCAAATTGGGACTGGAAGAGGAGGAGCTTCCTTGGCTTCCTATTGGACTTACTTTGTTGCCAACACTTTAGATCTGTACTGGTTGTATGCCAAGCTATTGGGCTGTCTAGCCAAACCACAGCAGAAATAGGGGCGAACCAACTTTGCTTGATCTCAACCAAGCTAAAAAGGGTTAGACCTGGTTTGTCCCTGAGGGGGAACCACCAGGAAGCCCCAGAGCTACAAGGCAGCCTGGGAAGTTAAAAAAGAACCACACCGTGATATGACAACGGCCATTGTGTCTTTATTATCGTTGAGAAAACTACGTGAAGTCAAAGTCCCAGGAAGATCTCAGCTCAAGTGGGTCTTTGGTGGCTCTTTCATGGCCCTATAGATTGGTCTGGAGACATTGGGGGGGGGCAGTTAAGTGCAGGGGTTCCCAATGGTTGACCTTTCCCCACAAGGCTTGTTAGAAGAGATTGGGCCCTTAGCTTTCAAAAACAATTAAGGGGCACTCTTGAGTCTTGGTGGTTAGGACAGTATTTCTCAATCTTGGGCACTTGAACTCCCAGAATTGGCTGGGTGGGGAACTCTGGGAGTTGAATTCCACCCAACTTCAAGCGCCCAAGGTTGGGAAACCACCAACCACTGTCCTAAGCACCAAAACGCTGGGCCCAGATCAACCAGAAAACCTGTACACTCTTTCATACATGGCTTCCTTCTGTGTATTCATTCACCGACTGATTTTAATGTGACCTTGCTTTGAACATGTGGCATTTCTGTCTGCTGTTCTCTCTCCATGGATGCTGCCTTCCCTGACATGCGTTTCCCCCCTCGTGGGACGAATGGGGACACCCTGCAGACAGAACTGGCGTCCGTTCTGGATGAGGTGAGCTCCTTGGGCAAGAAGAGGGTCCCTCCCCTGGTCCTCGCTGGGATGTTTGTGTTGGAAGAAAGGGGCGGGGGAGGCTGAGACGCAAAACACAAACAGAGAGCAAACCCCTCTCCCTTCTAGCCCTGATGATGTTCCCTAGTTGGGTCAGGAAACGTCTGCAAGAAAAAAAATTGAGCTCAGAGAGCGCCAAGGACCTCATAGTCCTTTTCCTCCTCCCCACTCAAACTCCACTCTCTTCTAGCACTGAAGAAATGACCTAGTTGGGTCATGAAACGTCTGCAAGAAAAGTACCAAGCTCAGAGAGCACCAAGAACCCACCAGTCCTTTTCCTCCTCCTCCCCAAACCTCCCCCTCCCTTTTAGCACTGATGATGTTCCCCAGTTGGGTCAGGAAATGTCTGCAAGAAAACATTGGAGCTCAGAGAGCATCAAGGACCCAACAGTCCTCCTCCTCCTTCCTCTCTCCACTCCCTTCCTAACTTCCTTCCTTCCCAACTTCCTTTCTCCCTAACTTCCTTCCTAACCTCCTCACTTCCTTCCTTCCAACTTCCTTCCTAACTTCCTTTCTTCCTAACTTCCTTCCTTCCTAACCTCCTCACTTACTTCCTCCCTTCCAACTTCCTTCCTTCCTAACTTCCTCCATTCTTTCCTAATTCCCTCCCTCCCTTCCTCCTTCTTCAGTTCTGACCGAATGGTGGAGGANGGGGGGGGGGCTTCAGAATTGAACAGGGGGCCCCCTTCCAGTTAGGACATTTGTGGCTCTTTGAGTGTTTCGGGTTGCCGACCCCTGACCTGGATGATGGAGACCATCCATAGAACATCGCTAGGAATGTGAGTGAGTAGATGCGTGTCGTGACTCACCAGCAAGGCAATAGAGGCGATGATGCAGCTTGGGGTTCAAGGAGGGCAGACATGGGGCAGGATTATGGGGCAGAAGGTGGTGGAGATGGAGGCAAGGAAAGGCATGTTGCTCGCTCAGAAGCTGAGATGAAGAGTAGGAAGTAGAGGAGAGAGTAAGGGAAGAAGAGAGGGATAGGAGAGAGGGCAAGGAGGGAAGAGGAGGAGAGAAAAGAGGAGTGGAAAGAGGAGAGAGGAGGAGAGGAAGGGGAAGTAAAGAAGAGAAGGACGACAGAGAAAAGAAAGGAGGGAGGGAGAAGAAAGTGATGAATAAGGTACAAATACGGTGTATGGAGAACAGAAGAGCCAACAATAGTTTTTGGGAGTTGATGGTAAGATGAATTGATGTAAACATTTAATAATACAATGTTGGCTACGTAATAGTATACATGGGATTAAATGTTATGAAAATGAAAAAATAAAAAACTTAAACAATAAAAAAAGGAAATGTTGCTTCAACAATGGTTCAAAGCTTATTTCGAAGTTGTTCAAGATGCGACTCTGAGACACTACAACCGTCATAAACGTGAGTCAGCCCTTAAGCACCTGGATTTTGATCACGTGGCCACAGGGATTCTGCAATAGTTGTGTCAAAACAGTCAAAAGTCCCCCTTTTTTTCCAGTGCCGTCGTAACTTTGAATGGTCAGTAAGTGAAGTCCTGTGAGTTGAAGGTCCATGGAGGTTCTCCGTCATCCGGGTCCTGATTGTCCCAAAGGGGCTTTTTTCAAGAGGCAGCTGGACTTTCTGGGGTTTCTTCGAAGACGTTTCGCTTCTCCTCCAAGCAGCTTCTTCGGCTCTGATGGGACGGTGGGAATGGAGCTGAAGAAGCTTCTTGGAGGAGAAGCGAAACGTCTTCAAAGAAACCCCAGAAAGTCCAGCTGCCCCTTGAAAAAAGCCCCTTTGGGACAGTCTTTTGAGGACCAGCTGTCCGTACTAAAAGCTCTGATGTGGATGTTTTTCACCAGGAAAGGTGGACTGTCCGATTATCTCCTCCTCCTCCTCCTCCTGTCCTTCACAGATCCCTACGCCATCGTCTCCTTCCTCCACCAGAGCCAGAAGACGGTGGTCGCAAAGAACACGCTAAACCCCACCTGGGATCAAACGTTGATCTTCTACGAGATCGAAATCTTCGGGGCTCCCCAAAATGTTGCTGAATCCCCTCCCGACATCGTGATCGAAATCTACGACCAGGACACTTACGTAAGTGTGCAAAGGGCAAGAAGCCCCTGGCCAAGCAGGAGACCCTCCGTTCAGCTTCGGTCAGGGCGGGGACTGCGGGCGGGCATTAAGAAGACAATCAGGAGATCACAACCTACAGGTAGTTTCTTGCAGGCTTCTCATGACCCAACTAGGTAATGACATCAGTAATCTCCTTCTCCTTCTCCTCCTTCTCCTNTTGGGCGGAGGGGCCGCCCAGTCGGTGTTCCCCCTGACCCGGCACGGAAGGCAGAAACGCAGCCACAGCTGAGATGCCTCTTCCCGTCACAAGAGATCACGCGAAGCCTTAGTAAAGCCTTAGTAAAGCCTTAGTAAAGCCTTAGTAAAGCCTTAGTAAGGCCACACCTGGAATCCGGCATCCGGTTTTGGTTCCCACATTACAAAAAAGATGTGGAGACTTTGGAGAAAGGGCAGAGAAGGGAAAACTAAGGGGATTTAGGGGCTGGAGACTTAACCATAGGAAGAACGGTTGCGGCAGAGGTGGGATTCAGCAGGTTCTGGCTGGTTCTGGAGAACCGGTAGCGGAAATTTTGAGTAGTTCAGAGAACTGGTAAATACCAGCTCGCCCCCCCATCTATTCTATCTGCCTCTGGAGTCCCAGCTGATTGGGAGGAAATGGGGAGTTTGCAGTATCCTCCCCCTGCCACACCCACCAAGCCACGCCCACAGAACCGGTAGTAAACATGTTTGAATCCCACCACTGGGTTGCAGGATTCGGGTTTGACTAGTCTAGAGGAAAGAAGGACTAGGAGGTGACATGATGGCAGGCTTCCAGTATTTGAGGGGATGCCCCAAAGAAGAGGGGGGCAACTTATTTTCCAAGGCACCTGAAGGCAGGAAACAGTGGATGGAAACTAATCAAGGAGAGAAGCAATCTGGAATTAAGGAGTAGCTTCCTGACACCGAGAACCATTAATCTGTGGAACAGCTTGCCACCAGAGGTTGTGGGGGCTCCATCACTGGAGGTTTTCAAGCCGCCTGTCTGGAATGGCATAAGGTCTCCTGCTTGAGCAAGGGGCTGGACTAGAAGACCTCCAAGGTCCCTTCCAGCTCTTTTCTGATGGAGACTGATCCCATCGGTCTTGGTGGTCCCAAACCTGCATTAAGGCCCACAAAGGCAGTTGGGTGTGGATGGGTGGGGGTGGGGGTCGGTGGGGCCCAGCATTAAAAGAATGGGCAGCAAACCTTCTGGGCTCCCCCAGCCTCAAGACGAAGAAGAGGGGCTTAAGAGCCCTTGAGATGAGATCTGGAGGTGACACAGAGAAGATAGAATAATAGGGGTGGAAGGCCCCTTGGAGGTCCTCTAGCCCAACCCCCTGCCCTTAGAAGGAAATCCTATACCATCCTGGACTTCCTTTTTGGCTTGAGGGATGGATGCAGCTGGTCACAGAAAGAATAACAGAGCAACAGAATTGGAAGGGACCTTGGAGGTCTTCTAGTCCAACCCCCTACTCAACCAGGAGATCCGGCCTATACCATATCAGACAAAAGGTTGCCCAATTGCTTCTTGAAAAGCTCCAGTGATGGAGCACCCACAACTTCTGGTGGCAAGCTGTTCCACTGGTTAATTGTCCCCACTGTTAGGAAGGTTGCTTCTCTCCTTGATTAATTTCCATCCATCCTTTCTTGTCCTGCTTTGGGCAATAAGTTGACCCCCTCTTCTTTGTGGGAGTCCCTTAGTTATTGGAAGACGCTCCCATGTCACCCCCTGTGCTTCTTTTCCTAGACTAGATATAGCCAATTCCTGCAACCGTTCTTCATATCAGAGGCTGGGCGGCCTCTGTCTTCTGGCTTCATCCAGCCTCAGAGAGAGGCTTTGGAACTGCTTGAGACTTGATCTGGAGGAGGAGCAAGGCCTCCATTAGGCTCCTTGGTTGCCCAAGTCCACAAATTCAAAATGATGGATTCACTCTTGAAGATGCTATTGACTAAATTCCATGGGGGATTCTGGGAGTTGAAATCCGCAAGTCTTAAAGTGATTTAGATTTAAATTTATTTTATTTGTATGCCGCCCTTTTCCGTGAGGGACTCAGGGCGGCGAACAACTCAAGGGGGGAAAAGGGGGAACATAGAACACAATACAAGTGATTAAAATAACGAAGAATCACACAGCCACACAGGTTGAGAGGGGAGGGGAACTCGTCACCCCCAGGCCTGCCGACACAGCCAGGTTTT